GAGACAGAATCCCAAGCAGGTTCCAGGCTCTGAGCTGTCAGCACAGAGCCCGACGTGGGGCTCCAACTCATGAACCATGAGATCATGACCCGAGCAGAAGTCAGGCGTACAACTGACTGAGCCAGCCAGGTGTTCACCGTTTTTTTTTTTTTTTAAAGATCAATAAAAGTTGATAAGCTTCTATCCAAGCTAACTAAGAGAAAAAGAGAGCAGACAGAAATTACTAGTATCGAAAATCAAAGAGGGGCCATCACTACTCATCCTTTGCATATTAAAAGGAGAATAAAGGAATATTTTGAGTAACTTCATGTTTATAAATTTGATAATCTAGATGAAGTGGACCGCATCCTCGAATCTATCAAAACTCATACAAGAAGAGATAATCTGATTTTGCTTTTATCTATGAAAGAAATTGAATCAGTAATATATAACCTTCCAAATTAAAAAGCACCAGACGGATTCACTGGTGAATTCTCCCAAACATTTAAGAAAGGGATGGTGTCGGGGTGCCTGGGTGGCGCAGTCGGTTAAGCGTCCGACTTTAGCCAGGTCACGATCTCGCGGTCCATGAGTTCGAGCCCCGCGTCGGGCTCTGGGCTGATGGCTCAGAGCCTGGAGCCTGTTTCCGATTCTGTGTCTCCCTCTCTCTCTGCCCCTCCCCCGTTCATGCTCTGTCTCTCTCTGTCCCAAAAATAAATAAAAAAACGTTGAAAAAAAATTAAAAAAAAAAAAGAAAGGGATCATGTCAATTCTCTACAATTTCTTTGAGACAGTAGAGGCAGAGGGAACACTTGCTAATTAATTCTGAGGCCAATATTACCCTAATACCAAGACCAGGGAAAGACTTTTGAGACAAGAAAACTACAGACCAATATCTCTCATGAACATTGATACAAAAATCCTCAACAAGGGGCGCCTGGGTGGCGCAGTCGGTTAAGCGTCCGACTTCAGCCAGGTCACGATCTCACGGTCCGTGAGTTCGAGCCCCGCGTCAGGCTCTGGGCTGATGGCTCAGAGCCTGGAGCCTGTTTCTGATTCTGTGTCTCCCTCTCTCTCTGCCCCTCCCCCATTCATGCTCTGTCTCTCTCTGTCCCAAAAAATAAATAAACGTTGAAAAAAAAATTAAAAACAAAAACAAAAATCCTCAACAAAATATTAACAAATCAAATCTGACAATGTATAAAACAAAGTGCACACCACAGTCAAGGGGGATTTATTCCGTGTGAATAATCATCTGATTATATCAGTAGATGTAGAGAAAGCATTTGACAACATAGTGCATTGAGAATGATTTTTGTATATATGTATTTGTAAGTGTCTATTTTTGTACATCTATCTAAAGTCTATACAGCAAAATTCTGACAGATGAGTTTTATTTTCTTCTTTTTGCTTTGAATTTTCTGAATTTTCTGTAAAATTTTCTAGAAAAGAGTACTAGACATGACTTTAAAAACCTTTATTGGTTTGGCTAGGGTCCACTACTAGAAATGCTTGTTAAAGGATCACAGCTAAAGGGAATAAGGTCACAAGTCTTCTAGTGCCCTGTTGATGGGGGCGAAATTGGGAAGTGGGAGGAGCTTCCCCTGGTAGAGTGCTCAAGTGGCCGATTGTGGACAGGCAAAATGCAGACAACAGAGCAACACAGAAACGGGTCCCCATCTCTTCCCTCTAGTCTCATTTTGTATAAACCTTGGTAATTGCTGTTATCAATGGAGAGAGATCAGTTTCTGTCTTTTTTAAAAAAAAATTTTAATGCTTATTTTTGAGAGAGAGAGTGGGTTGGGGGGTGGGGGGGGACAGCAGGGGAGGGGCAGAGAGAGAGTGAGGGAGACATAATATCTGAAGCAGGCTCCAGGCTCTGAGCTGTTAGCATAGAGCCTGATGGGGTGGGGCGGGGTGGCTCCAACTCACGAACCTTGAGATCATGACCTGAGTCAAAGTCAGAAGCTTAACTGACTGAGCCACCCAGGCCCCAAGATCAGTTTCGTTTTGAGATCAATCTCTAATGTCAGCCTAAGCAAGTGAATCTGTACAAGTTAGTCGTAAACATGAGCACGTGCAAACACACACACACACACACACACACACACACACACACATGCACACACACACACACACAATCTTTACTACAATGCCGAAAATTCAAAATATAGGTGTTTGTAGTATTGACTCTTATCAATCTAGATTTTTTTCAAATTTACAAACAGTGCTTGCTGTATGGTTTTGTGAAAGCCTAAACCAGCTTCATTTTCAGTGAGCTGTCTGTCAACCCCGTCTGGTCTCTGGAAAGGTGTTTTTCAATTTGGGTTCTAAACTAACTACTTTCACTTCAGATAGACTCATTGTCATATTCTGTACACAGTCATGCATCTTACCTCAGATTATTTCCTCTTGGGGTTGGTTGACCTTCAGGGATATTATAGGCACACTCTCACCATGTATCTCCACCTCTGACCCTAGGAAGTCACCTTTCTTTCCATTGTCTCTTCTAGGGTCTGTGGCAGATTCACAGTGCCAAGAGGTGGCATTTAGAGTTAGCTATATCTAGATTTAAATCCCTGCCCCAATATTTACCAGCTGGATGAACTTTGGCAAATCACTCTCTGAGTGGCTCCCTTCACCTGATAAATGTGGATAGTATTGGTTTATAAAATTCTCATGATGATTAAGTCAAAAGTCATCTATGCAATGCCCGGACTGAGTAGGCAACCAACAAATGGGGGCCTGATGCTCATAGCCTTCCCTTCCAGTTATCTGAGTTTATTCTAGAGGTTTTCCTGACAGGATTATCCTGGCCCTGGTCCACAATCCTTGCTTCTTCTCTGGCTCTTGGTCCTCTCTCATTTTGTGGACGTTTTGGGTCCCGTTATCTTGATTTTACATTCTGTTGTTGTGATTCTAGTTCTGGTGGGTGACTCACCCTATCCCTACCATTCCCGCTCAGCTCAGGTTAGAGCCCCACCTTTAGGTCCTCTCATAGCCAGCCTTGTGAACTTGGCAAAACCATTTAAGGTCCTGAACCACACCTGTGCTTCTTTATAGCCCATGCCTGTCAGATCAAAACATAATGATCCAGTTGAGGGAAGAGATGGCGTTTTGCTTGCACATGTCATAAAAAGATGGAAAATTTAAAGCAATGAACAGAGAAATCTGGGAAAGCCATGGCTTTTTTTTTTTTCTCCCAAAAAGAATCTTCACTGTCAAAAAGAGTAAGGCAAAAATATACAATTCAAAGCCCTGAGAGACAGAATTATCTCTAAGGAGAACACTTTTAATTTTGGATGTCAGTGATTCTTTCATAGATTTTGGGCTTTTGAATGAATTTGTTCAGTTGGAACCTAGGGAAGCCTGGCTGCATGAGAAATTAATTATACACATAAAAGTTCGAATATGAGTAACTTTATTATCTTAATATAGCTATTGTTTTTAGACAATTAAGTAATACATGTTTATTGTACAAAATGTAGAAAATACCGGGGCACCTGGCTGGCTCAATTGGTAGAGACACTTGATCTCATGGTCGTGAGTTTGAGCCCCATGTTGGGTGTAGAGATTACTTACAAATAAAATCTTTAAAAAAATCTAGAAAATATAAACCCTCTAAAGAGAAAAAATCCAGGAAAAATCCTAACATTTTGATGTATTTCCTTGTGATTGATTTTTCTTTATAAAATTTAGACCATATTTCATCCACAGTTTTATATTCTACTCTTTGCACCTAACAGCATCTCTTGAGTATTTTTCTACCTCCTAAAGACTCCTTTATTTTTTCCTTTATTTTTTTAAAGTGTCATTTATTTGGGTAATTTCTGCACCCTATGTGGGGTTGAACTCATGATCCCGAGATCAAGTGTCGCATGCATGAGCTAGCCAGGCATCCCTAAAATTTTACCTATCATCTATCCATCTGTCTGTCTGTCTGTCTATCTACCTCTGTATCTATCTGTCATCTATCTAATGTCTACATCCAGTGTGTGTCTCGAACTCACTACCCTGAGGTCAAAAGTCACATGCTCTTCCTACTGACCAGCCAGGCACCCCCTTAAATACTCCTTTAAAATGTTATTTTAATGACTTCTTATCATTCCATTGAATGACTATGTTATGATTTATTCATCTAACCCCTGTTGTTGGACATTTGTGAATCCCGTTACAAATAGTACTTCAGTGTAAATATTTGAACCTTCATTTTTGAGCATGGATCCAATTAGATTCTCTTTTGAGCATGTTACATTCCCAAGGTCCTCTGGCTACTTGTGGAGCTCTGATTGCTGTTCATGCTGCACCACTGGGGTCGACTGCAGTGGGGCTAAATGACCACAGATGCTTTGGGTGGATGGTTCTCCCTGGCAGAACTATTTTTATTCCCTTCTAGGAGGGGGCTCCTCCCAGGGAGTTTAACTGCTTGGCACACGTGAAATGGTAACTTGACAAAGGCTTGCTGCTTGTTATGAATGAGCTTCTTTCTGTGTGTCAGCTCCTGCAGGCTGTGGCTGTGGGAGCTCCCTGTAATGAAGTGCCCCGGGGCAGTGCCCCCAAGTCCCACATAGGTCTTTGTTGGCAAGTAATTCCCTTTCTGAGGCGAGGTGCTTGCAAGGCCTGTGGGAAATGGAGGAGGAGTGGAAATTGGCACACCCAAGGCTCTCTCTGGTGAGACTGCTCTGCGATGCCAAGTTGGAGTCTGGGGTTGGCTGGGTGAGCCCTGGCCATGCTGTGGGGAGCCAGGGTGTGTGTGTGTGTGTGTGTGTGTGTGTGTGTGTGTGTGTGAGAGAGAGAGAGAGAGAGAGAGAGAGAGAGAGAGAGAGAGAAGGAGGGAGAGAGAGAGAGAAAGAGAGAGAGAGAGAGAGAGAGAGAGAGAGAGAGAGAGATGGGTAAATAAGGCCTTCAACCCCTGAAATTCTCTGGTGCTTTCCAAAGATTATATACATTTTTCTTTTTAATGCGATGATTCCTCTTTGCAGTAGTCTGCTCAGGTGCCAGAGCAAAATACCACAGACTGGGGGGCTTCAACAACAAAAGTCTATTTTCTCACTGTTCTGGAGGCTGGAAGTCCCAGATCAAAGTGCTGGTCATTTAGGTTCCTGATAAGGGCTCTCTTCCTTGTTTATAGATGGCTTTGTCCTCAAATGGCTTTTCCTCTGGGCCAAGAGAAAAGAGAGATCAAGGGAAAGATTAAGACATTGAGAGAGAGAGGGAGGGAGACAGAGATCTCTTCCTTTTAATTTTTTTAATTATTATTTTTTTTTATGAAGCTACCGGTTCTACCAGGCCTAATCCTTATGACTTTATTTAAACTCTGTTACCTCCTGGGGCGCCTGGGTGGCTCAGTCGGTTAAGCGGCCGACTTCGGCTCAGGTCATGATCTCAAGGTCTGTGAGTTCGAGCCCCGTGTCGGGCTCTGTGCTGACAGCTCAGAGCCTGGAGCCTGTTTCAGATTCTGTGTCTCCCTCTCTCTGACCCTCTCCCGTTCATGCTCTGTCTCTCTCTGTCTCAAAAATGAATAAATATTAAAAAAAAAAGATAATCCTTAAAAAAAAAATAAATAAACTCTGTTACCTCCTGAAGACCCTATCTATAAATACAGTCACATTGAAGGTTAGGGTTTCAACTTATGAATTTTGGGTGTGTGCAAACATTCAGTCCATAACATTGTTACCCACTGCTCTATTTTTTTCCTATAACATTTATCATCTTCTACAATACTACATGACTTATTTTTTTATTAAGTTGGTTATTATTTGTCTCTCACTACTAGAATATAAGCTCTATGAGGTCAGGAATCTTTCCTGGTTTTTCACTTATGTTTCTTCAAGAACCTAGGAGAGTGCTTGCACATGCAAATGTGGAAGAAATGAATGAGGTCAGCAACCATAGCTGTCAAGGTGAGAAGAGAGAGAGCTAGAACTACTGGTAATAAACAGAAAATTCCAGGAAATAGCAATATCTAGGAAGGGAAATTGGGGCCTGTCCTGTCCTATCCCAGAACTACTAATGCCCTGTCCAGCAACATGTGGATAATTGCACTTGATCAGGAAGATGGGGAGGAGACACTCCACATCATGGTCCAAACTTGGGTTCTGTTAAATTGTTATGGGGATTGTGCTGTCTTAATCTGCTTGGGCTGCCACCAAAAATCCCATCAACTGTGTGGCTTAAAAAATAGAAATTTAATTTCTCACAGTTCTGTAGGCGAAGTCCAAGATCATTGTGCTGGAATGATTGAGTTCTGATGAGAACTATCTTCCTGGCTTAAGGGTGACCACTTTCTCTTTGTCCTCATGTGGCAGAGACAGAGAGAGGAAGGCGAGCTTTGTGATGTCTAATCCCATCATGGGGACACCACCCTTATGACCTCATCTAAACCTAAATACCTCTCCAAGGCCCGTCTCCAAATACTATCACATTGGGTTTAGAACTTCAACATGTGAATTTTGAGGGGACATAAACAGTCCCTAACAGATGATGGAACTGGTGATCAAACACTTACAGGATCCAGAGATGAGATGTCAGGTCAGGGAGTAGAACAAGATACTGTCCACGTAGACCATGACTCCTCAGTCCAGGAGGTGAACGTCTAGAAAGCATCAGAGTATCACATTAGCCAGATGCCATCACAGTGCACCCATATTGGTCAAATCCTACTGGCATTATAGTGTACCCAGAATGGTCAAAGCCTGCCTGGGAGGCTGTTAGTCACTCATGGTATTTCCAGATCTTGTGGAATTGTAGTCCTTAAGAGGTCTAAATTGATACAATTATGTGTGCCACAATTTTGGGTGAATGATTAGATTGGGTTTCTTTTTCTTTTCATTTATGAAAATATCCGGGAGCTTTTGGAGAACAAGTGCAGAGTCTGAGAAGTGGATAGCATGCTGTTTAAAATGTTGTGGCTTTAAAATGTAGTTTAATACTTATGAGAGAGAAATTATCACATAAAAATATCTTCGCTATTCCCACTAGTAGCTTTTTGCAGATGCGCTTTGGAATTATTTTCCAGGGGCGCCTGGGTGGCTCAGTCGGTTGAACGTCCGACTTCGGCTCCCGTCATGATCTTGTGGTAAGTTCGAGCCCTGTGTTGGGCTCTGTGCTGACAGCTCAGAGCCTGGAGCCTGCTTTGGATTCTATGTCTCCCTCTCTCTCTGCCCCTCCCCTGCTCATGCTCTGTCTCTCTCTCTCTCTCTCTCTCTCTCTGTCAAAAATAAATAAGCATTAAAAAAATTATAAAAAAAAGAATTATTTTCCAAGTTGCAATGAAAGATTGAGATTTTGATAGGAACTATTTTAAATCTATGAATGACTTTGTAAAGCATTGACATTTTTATAGAATTGAATTGTTTCATTCAGGAATATGGTGGGTTTCTATATCTTTTCAGGTCATTTGTGTCTCTCGATAAACTTTTGTAGTTTTCTTCATATAAAGCCTTCACTTTCTTTGTAACTAATCTGTTAACTGCTATTCTATCGGAATGTATTGATTCTTATCTATTTTTAGTTTATTAAGTTTTCAGTCCTACTATCCACATATAATATTCATTTTGCATTCTCCTTTGCAATTGTTGTAACTTAAAAAATTTTTTTTTTATTTTTAAAGTTTATTTATTTTGAGAGAGACAGAGACAGAGTAAGTGGGGGAAGAGCAGAGAGAGAGAGAGAGAGAGGGAGAGAGGGAATCCAGGCAGGCTCTGTGCTGCCAGCGCTGAGCCTGACATGGGGCTCAAACCTATGAAACTGCGCGATCGTGACCTGAGCTGAAACCAAGAGTCAGGTGCTTAACCAACTGAGCCAGCCAGGCACCCCTGCACTTGCTGTGACTCTTAATTTCTGGTGCCTACTCTACTCTTGCCCCTCAACGTATTAACCGGTGGTGGTAGAGAGAGCACATTTGTTTTGGTCCTGACTTTATGAGAATATGTATTGTGTGCCAGTCCATCCTGGCCTGTTTGCCCTCAGATTTGTACTTTGACTTTCCTTGCTCTGTTGTGCTGCCGGGGACTGACATTTGCAGGCTGCGTATCCCCAGGCCCCCGTGTCAGCTGGTGTCCATCTGGGTTCCACCAGTGGGAGTTTCTAGCCAAAGTCTGGTGAGCCGAAGACAGGGTATTTCTCCTCTGTTCTCTGCCATGGGTAGCAACTCCAGCAGCAGTGACATCTGGTTTCATGGCTCCAACTCTGGCCAGAAAGATGTCTCCATAGTTTCAGCTTCTGCTGGGTGAACCTGGTCCCCAGGCTCAGGGAATACTCTTTGCTCTTTGTATTCTACCAGGGAGGCTGCCCTCCGTCCCCAGTAGGAGCGCCCCTGTCCTAGACCCTATGTTTTATAGGGCCCACGTATCACAAACACAAAAAGTAACTGTTCTGGAGAACGCATGGTTGCCCTTCTGTCTTGGGACCTGGCGGCCATCAGTACTGGCACAGCGTGGCCCAAACAGCTGCTCTTCTGGTCAACACAGTTCAGGCCCCAAGGACATGCTTTTCTGAAACTCTTGCCCTCAGAACAAAAAACATCTGCATCTAAATGCCTTTAAGTTTTATGGGTTGTGTTGCTGCTGATACGGTGTTAGCTACTGCTTTGGAGCACAGAAAGGGTGTGAGGGTGGAGGCACTTTGATAAAAGAAAAGATGAAATGATTAACTTGTCAAATCCTTCCTCCCAGGTAGCATGCAAGCAGATTTTTGAATAAGGAAGCGTCACTTCCCAGCAGCGATGGGCATCCATTTTCCTGCTTCCTTTTGTGTTCCAGTTCATGGTTCTGGAGTTACATATGAATTAGGGTGGTATTTTGAACAGTTGCACACAGTAACTGAGGCACGTTTTGCAAGATTATGTTCTTGCAATTCACATTCCTCTTAAACCATAAGTGTATTTCTAGACCTAACCTAGATTTTGGCCTAAAATCCAGAAACATTCTTTATAGCACATATATAACATAGTTTGAATTTGTTGCTAGAGATGTGGCCTCAACTGAGCCAATAGGCATGAAGTTCTTTGGAGGAATTGAAAGATTATTTATATATCTTGAATCTATCCATAGACAAGACACATTTAAATTTGGCCTTATAGCCACTTAAGACACACAATGTGGGGCATCTGGTGGCTCAGTCAGCTAAGCTTCTGACTCTTGATTGTGGCTCGGATCATGATCTCACAGTTCATGAGTTCAGACCCCGTGTCACCGCAGAGCCTGCTTGGGATTCTCCTCTCTCTCGTCTCTCTCTGCCCTTCCCTGGCTCTCTTGTGCACGTTCTCTCTCTCTTTCTCTCAAAATAAATAAATAAATGTTAAAAAAAGACACACAATGGAAATGCTGACTAAAGCCATTAAATTTAATTTAGAAAGGATGTAAGATATATTAGGAAAGCTAAATGAAACAATAGAATGTCCTCAAATCTAGAGCAAGAATGTGGTCTTTGTGGAAGATAAAATTAATTTAGGACTTGTGCTGCCCACAATTTTTTGATACAAACTATTACTTGCTATTAATGGTATAAGCAAAAGAAAACCTAAGTTTGGTGATTTCTCACTTAAAGGGATTAAAAATACTTTTAAATTTTAAGGAAAATGGTGTTCTAAATAAAAATACAGTGCATATGCAATCAAATGTGATATCCTAATAAAATATAAGAGAATTAGAACAAGGAAATGCAAATGTTTTCATGACTTTAAAGAAGAGGCTTCATGTACAAATAAACCAAAGTAATGTCTGTAGTAACTATTTTCCGACTGTTATAGATCAAGATATGGTCTTGACTGTGGAGAGATTTGAACAAATTAATCAATGGACTGCAGTTTTTGGTATTTTTCATTCTAGCACTGGAATATTTGAAAGAAGAACTGAATAGGTATTGTGGATCTACATATTACTTTGACAGTAAAAATCATGACATATATGATAATGTTTTACATGATAAAAGTAGTATTTTTTGTATTAACAATAACTTGTCATAGGTGATCGTTACAATGCTTGAATATAACATACAAAATCCCAAATATAAGTATTGTTTTAAGAATTTGTGGGCGCCTGGGTGGCTCAGTTGGTTGAGCTTCCGACTTCGGCTCAGGTCATGATCTCATGGTCTGTGAGTTCAAGCCCTGCGTCGGGCTTCTTCCTGACAGCTTGAAGCCTGGAACCTGCTTCGGATTCTGTGTCTTCCTCTCTCTCTGCCCCTCCCCCATTCATGCTCTGCCTCTCTCTGTCTCAAAAATAAATAAACATTAACAAAATATTAAAAAAAAGAATTTTATTGACATTCCAATAGAAGTGTTACTGCTTCAGTAGGGTGAAGTTTCTCCAAATTGGAAATAATTAAAAAAAAAACAAAACAAACCCAAAACTATCCTGGGTGGCTCAGTCGGTTAAGTGTCCGACTTCAGCTCAGGTCATGATCTTGCCTTTTGTGAGTTTGAGCCCCGTATCAGGCTCTCTGCTGTCAGCATGGAGCCCACTTCGGATCTTCTCTCTCCCTCTCTCTCTGCCCCTTCCTCGCTGGTTCTCTCTCTCTCCAAGTAAATAAATAAGCTAAAAAAAAAAAAAAAAAGAACTATTTAAAAACTACAGGGAATCAAAAGCAGTTGTCAAAAACATTTGACATTACCATCAATAGAATATAAAGTTATGTGAAAATCTTGATTATAACAACAGAATGATTTTTCTGAAATAAAAGTCAAGAAAAATAACTCTTATGATACGTATTTTGTTGTAAATTATAAGTGCCTCTATTTTATTACTCACCTGTGCATTGCTGATCCATCAACACATGAGCAGTCATAATTTGGTTGTCTTTGATATTTTGCCAAATTGTATTCATACTCAAATATAACTTTACACATATTTGAAAATTGGTCATCACAAAGGTATGTGTAAGGTAAGAGGTTGGAACATCGTTATTTAACAGTTCATCATTTGACTTACACCTATAAACATTCAGGTACATGAGATGTGGGCTGCGTTTGTAAGCTTGCCCTGGGCTCTTTGTTGGGGCCAAGCCTGCCTCGTGGTGGTAGTGGCTTCCCGCTGCCAGCTTCCTGTTGTCTGCTTGGCTCCTTGGTTCTTCTATCACTCTTTAATTTTGCACAAATAAACAGATACATGTATATTGGCTTATGACCCCTTTTTTTCCTTTATTTTTTTTCAAGATTTTATTTTTATTTTTTTATTAAAAAATCTTACAATCTTTATTTATTTATTTAAAAAAATTTTTTTTCAACGTTTATTTATTTTTGGGACAGAGAGAGACAGAGCATGAACGGGGGAGGGGCAGAGAGAGAGGGAGACACAGAATCGGAAACAGGCTCCAGGCTCCGAGCCATCAGCCCAGAGCCTGACGCGGGGCTCGAACTCACGGACCGCGAGATCGTGACCTGGTTGAAGTCGGACGCTTAACCAACTGCGCCACCCAGGCGCCCCATAATCTTTATTTATTTTTGAGAGAGAGAGAGAGAGAGAGAGACAGAGTGTGAGTGGGGGAGAGCAGAGAGAGAGGGAGACACAGAATCCGAAGCAGCCTCCAGGCTCTGAGGGTCCTCGTAGAGCCCGATGGGGGGCTTGAACTCGCGAACCATGAGATCATGACCTGAGCTGAACTTGGACGTTTAGCCAACTGAGCTACCCAGGCGCCCCAAGATTTTATTTTTAAGTAATTTCTGCACCCACCGTGGGGCCCCAACCCATGACCCTGAGATCAAGAGTCACTCACTCCATTGACTAGTTAGGTGCCCCTGTCCCCTTCTATTTTACATGAAAGGTAGAATTGTAGGTTGAAGAGTGTCCTCCCAGAACCTCTGTTGAAGTCCTAACCCCTATGACTTTGAAATGTGACCTTATTTAGAAATAGTGTCATAGTAGAGGTAATTGATTCAGATGAGGTCAGGCTGGAATAGGGTAGGCTTATGTTCCAGTATGACTGGTGTTCTTATAAGAAGAGAGACATTTGGCAATAGAGGAAGGATGTTGTGAGAAAAGGCAGTCATGTGATGACAGAGGCAGAGATCAGAGTAAGCCAAGGAATGTCAGGGATTTCTAGCAGATACTAGAAGCTAGAAGCTTCCTCTAGAAGCTAGAAGAGGCAAGGAAGGATTCTCTCCTCCAGGTTTCAAAGGGAGCATGGTCCTGACAACACCTTGATGTTGTACTCCCAGTCTCTAGAAATGCGTGACAATAAATTTCGGACATTTTAGGATACCTGATTTGCGGTGCTTTGTCATAGAAGCCCTAGGATATGGGCAGCATACCAAAACTGCTCTTTGCCCCATGTGCCAATGTTTCTACAGGCTAGATACCTACAAGTAGAGCTGCTGGAGCGAAACAAACATCTCTCGTCTTCACAGCTACTCCAAATTGCCCTCCTGAGTGGCGGTATCGGTTTATGCTCCCACCAGCAGAGCACGAGAGCTTGTTTCCTTATGCCCTGGCCAACACTTGACATTAACAGACACATAAACACTTTTTCCAATGGATGGGTAAAAAAGAAGCACTTAAAAAAACTGTATTCTCTGATTAGTAGAGGGGTTGAATGTTTTTTTTTTTGTATGTTAATATTCCATTTGAATTTTGCTTCTGTAAATTTTCTTAAAAAATTTTTTTAACGTTTATTCATTTTTGAGAGACAGAGACAGCATGAACGGGGGAGGGGCAGAGAGAGAGGGAGACACAGAATCTGAAGCAGTCTCCAGGCTCTGAGCCATCAGCCCAGAGCCCGACGTGGGGCTCGAACTCACGGACCGTGAGATCGTGACCTGAGCTGAAGTCAGACGCTTAACCGACTGAGCCACCCAGGCGCCCCAAGAGAACTTTTAGTGATATCTCTGTATCTCTGTTGTTGACCTTAGAGAAAGCTTGGAGAATGTGAACGCTGGTTAGCGAAAGGGGGGAGGTTGTGTGTGAGCAAATGAAATTCCAAATTTCAACAATGTGGATTTCACAAACTGCAAACCAATGATTTTAATGTTATTTTGGGGCAAGATCCTAGAATAGCATTCAGAAAGGATGAATTGTAGAAGAGTCCTGGAAGAGAAAGTGAGGATTATTAGAACTTTATATGGGTCATGTGGAAACATGACTGACCATGTGTTTTCTTTATCGGTTGACTTCACGGTTAGACCAAGGAGCCCTGCTGGATACAAGAAGCACTAATAATCAGGAAGCATCAGAAAGCCTGGAGCAGCAAGCTCAAGGAGAAAAAAAAAAAAAATCAAGGGGGTATTTAGTCTGGAGGGAAGAAGGCTTAGGGAGAACATGATGGCCAAGGTCAAGTATGAGAAGGACCATTAAATGGGAGAGGAATCAGGTATCTGTGGGCTTCTCAAAGGCCAATGGGTAGGATTACAGGGATCTAGGATGAGACTCAGTATAAGGAAGGACTGTCTAATCATTTATACCATCTGAGAGTGGAACAGGGTACTTGCCAAGAGAGTGATTTCCCTATCACTGCAAGTATGCAAGCAGAAGCTGGCCAATTACTTTTTTGGGAAACGTTCTAGGAGAGATTCATGCATTTTTGTGTGGTAAACTCTAAAGTCCCTTCCAATTTTGGGATTCTCTGATCCTAGGACAGTGTAGGTTCAAATCGGAAGGACTAGGTTGGAAACAGTGATGCCACAGCTAACAGGGTGGAAGGAACTGGAAGAAGGCAGAGGGAAGAAACATAGATCACTCAATTAAGAAAAGAAGGTCAAGTGGTTATATAGTCTGGAGGAGGAATCCTCCCTCCTTTTAGCACCAAAGACCAGGCTCTACCCCAAATGGAGTAGTGCTGTCCAGGAAAACCACATTTCAAAGGAGGCCTGAAAACAACATCTTTAAAAGGCTGTGGGGATGTCACCAAGGCCAAAGTTTTCAAGACAGAATTTTAATGATGTTGGGAAAAGAGGAGGACAATGTTCCATTTAGGGCCCTTCCCACAGCAGGGCCCTAATCACAGGGTGGCCCAGGAGGGCCATGGGAGAAGGGACAAGGCACATCAGTGGAAGCAGGCCTAAGGCACAGGCCTGGAGAAAAGTTGCAAAAGGAAGAACAAGAAAGGGACGGAATAATGGAAGAAGGAGGACAGATGCAGATAAAAGGAACAGGTACCTTCATTGCCAGATGGGTAACCTCCTGGGTTTCCAGGGGGCTCCAGGGCCCCCTTGGAAGTGGTTCTTGGAAGTGGTTCTCGGGGGAGGGGAGAGCTGGTAATCAGGAGAGCGAGGCTCTAGTGTGGATGTGCCCCTACTTGCTGAGTGACCTTGTAGGTATCATTTCACCTTTCTGCCTCCTCCCTGTGGTCAGACACAGACATCCTGTTAGGCTGGAAGTGCTCTGGGCTTTCCAGAATAAAGTAGCTCCGGGAATTTCAGACTGCAAGTCTGAAAGTGTGCAAAGCGTTTGCGCTTGTTTCCAGATTTTCATGGCTGGGGGAGAGGGAACAGGTGAGGGTAGACAGGAAAGGTGAGACCACATTGTGGCCAAGTCGCTGGGCTCCGCCTCACTGTCCTAGGGAACCCAGGGGACCGGGAGGCGGCCCACGGCATGTGCCTGATAGCCCCTCGGCCAGCCGGGCCCCCTAGAACCCGGCGGACATCCTCAGGCTCTGCTGTCCCTTTCAGCAAAACCCATTGCCGCATCCAGGGACCGAAGGCGAGGCACGCCCCTCCCCCACTAGATGGCACTGAAACGCCTCGTTCCCGATTTTCAAACTGCAGGGAGGATGAAAAAAGACAAAAAGAATATGGTGGAGGTGCGCTCTTTCAGGCTCGCAGGCCGCGTTGTGCAAAGCAGGGTGCCGGACACTTTTTCCCCCCGCAGGGCAGCTCTTTACCCCGCGGTGCGGGCCCCCCGCTTTGGAGTAAGGGTGAAAATGAGGGGCGAGCATTGTAAAGAAAAAAACCAGGCTTTCAACCTGGGAGGGAGGCTACCAGCCTTTGCGGCGCGGTCTCACGTGAGCCGGGCGGTGGGGGTGGCGGGCGTTTCTGGGATGAACTGGGGCTCCCTTGGGGCCCACCCGCCCACGGTCTGGGGTCCCGCACTGCTTCCCAGCGCCCCCGCTAAGCCTAAATCCAGCAGCCACCCAGATGAGGACAGGCCCGCACCGAGGTTTCATTTAACCCCACCTCCCCTCCTCAAAGCGCGAGCCCCCCGGCGTTTTCAAAATATCTATTAATCACCGCCCCCCCCCCCAACACCCATTAAAATTCTCTTCCTCTGGTCTTGAAAGGATCAGTTTCCTTTTTTTCTTTCCTGCTGGGGAGGGAGGTGGTGGCAGGTGGAGGTGGGTGTGTGTCGGGGGGGGGGTCTGGCGCTGGCGTGGGGCTAGACTCGGGTTGGCCGTGGCAACCCCAGCGACGCGCCCGGCCCCGGGGGGGGGGGGGGGTAAACTGCTGGAGCTAGCAAGGTAGCGCCTGTGGCTTTCTGGGGAAAACAAAGATCTAATGTGATCCTAGATTCCAGCGACAAAACTGGGGACGCAGGAACTTCCTCAGCCCCTCTGAACGCCGACTCCGCAATAAGCAGTCTTTAAAGAACTGGGGTCGATGTGAGGGAATTTTCCACCACCAAAAAGAGATAAACAGGAGAAGGGGGCAACATCCCTAAATTTATAATAATGCACGGAAACATGCTACATGCCACATGTATGTATATGTGCATAAATATGGATATGGTTGGGCACATACCTATCCAGACACCATTGACTTGCCTGGTCAGAGACTCAGGCTTAGACATCTCGTGCCTGGGAAATGGTGCAGTTTATCTTTAAGGATGCTAGAAAAATAAGAGATGAGGCTCACGTTGCACGGATGACATCACTAGCTTTTGGCTGCGCGCTCCGTGTTCTCGTCTGTGGGTTTTAGCCAAAGCTGCAGCGCCCGGCGCCCGAGCGAGCGAGCGCGGCAGCGGCTTCCTCCGGCGCCCGCACCCGGGCGATGCGATTTCCCGAGCACCCCGGGCGCAGCCTGGGCTCTGGCTCCCCACCACCCGCCGAGCCCGCGAGGCCCCGGAGCCGCCGCGGCTAGAGGAGGAGGCAGGGAGGGGAAGCCCAGCGCCCCAGCCTCCCTCCCCCACCCTCGCCCCATTCACCTCGGCGGCCGCCGCGCGCTGGGAGCCTGATCGCGGGACGCCGAGGCCCGGACGCGATTCTCCTCGCGCCGCCAAGTGAGCCGGCGCCTCGGCTCCTGGGTGGGCTGCGAAGAAAATGGTGCAGTCTGAGAGCGGCTGACCCCAGTTGGGCAGAGCAGACAGCTCCAGCGCCGGGCTGTGGCGGGAGAAGGGGGCGGATTGTTTTGAAGGGCCGGGACCGCTGTTTTCTTCGGTGCCTGCAGCATTTTCTTTGCACCTGAGCAGCAGGTTCCTGGGGCTAGTTGGGAGCCAGATGAAGTGAGGCAGAGGCATCGCGGGAGAGGCGGGTCTGGAACCTCTCGGGTGGATACTCAGGAAGGAGACTGCGCTGGGGAGACCGGCATGACGCCCCCGGGGCTGGCTGCGGGGCTGGTGGTGAGCCCGGACCGCGCGACCTGTCCATGGTGTTGAAGGCACCGCGCGCCGAGCTCCGCGCGCGCCGCGCCGTGCGCCCTGCCGGGTGCATCCTCCTCGGCGCATCCTGTCTCTCGAGCCCGCCGGCTGCCGCCCATTCACCCCTAACCGCGGGCCGAGGCTCGTCTGGTTACGCCGTCCGGGTGACCGCGCCGTCGGCCCGAGGGGCCTCCTGAATGGCGAGGCCAGAAGCAGAACACCCGGGAGCTCGCGCGGGAAGGTTGGCCGCGACCGTGCGCCCACGGGAAGCCCGCCTCTGAGCACAGCGCGCTGGCCAGACAGCAAAGGACCTACTGGTGACCAGAGGACGGAGCTTTTCCAAAGAGCCGACCCAGAGAGGAAGAACATTGCTTGGTTTGCAGATCGGAAGGGGGACAGTTGCTGAGTGGGAGACCCAGGCGGGACTCAGGGCAGCCGGCCCCGGCATCTGGAGGTTTTCCTTCGTTGGCCGGTCTCGTCGCGGGTGCTGGAGTTCATTCTGTCGTCGCGCAGCAACTCGTGATAGCCCCCACCCCCTCACCCCAAGAAAAGGCCAGGCGAGTGGGTCCCGTCGCCACCCTGCACAAAGAAAGCCCAACAGTCTCACTGCAGCCGAGGGCACTGGGTGTTTAGTTTCTGGCCCGAGGGCAGCGGCGCCTGAAGTCCGGCTGTGTGCCGACGCGGCCGGTTCGGGGCAGTAGCTTCCTGCTGGGCAGGGAGGGGGCGGGAGGCGGTCTTGTCCGCTCGCCGCCGCCGGAGGCTGCACCTGCCCCCCCGGAGGATGCCCAGAAGCCAGCCGGAGCCTCCCCGGATCAGAACTTTTTAGGCTGTCCGCCCCCATCCCCGCAGTCCCTGGGCCGCGCACCGGCAGGCGGGGGCGAGGGGGCGCCGCCGCGCGAGTCCCCCTCCGGTCCCCCCCTCCCCCTTGGCTCGGCCGCCCGCCCGCCGCTTTGTTCCGGGCGCGCGGAGGGAAGGCGAGGCTGCGGCGGATCATGCCCATGGTGTAGCCGCCAAGCGGAGGCATGGCTGCCGGAAGGTTACTGCTCTATACGGGCCTCTCGCTAGCGCTCTGCGCCCTCGGCATGCTGGCCGTGGCCATCTGCTCGGACCACTGGTACGAGACGGACGCCAGGAAGCACAGGGACAGGTGCAAGGCCTTCAACACCCGCCGGGTCGACCCCGGCTTCATTTACAACAACAACAACAACTTGCCGCTCCGGGCGAGCCGCTCCCGCCTGGACCGCTGGGAGGGCAAACTCCTCCGGGCCCGGAATCGCCGGCAGCTCTTCGCCATGAGCCCGGTTGACGAGTGCAGCCGGCAGTACAACTCCACCAACATGGGCCTCTGGAGGAAATGCCACCGGCAGGGCTTCGACCCCGAGATCGCAGCCCTCATTCGGAAAGGTAAGCGCGAGGCGCGAGGCGTGAGGCGTGGCGCTGCGGAGATCCCGGCGCCTCTAGGCCCGGCAGCCCTCTCCTCCCTTCGCCGGGCAGCCCTCTGCTCCCTTCGTCTGGCCACGGTCTCTCCGGCCTCCTGCGAACGGGAGGTCAGGTTGTCCAGGCCCTGCTGAGCTTTGGAGCGGCCAGAACTTGCCTCCCGATAGCCGGTAATGGAGGCTTACCTCTCTCTGCCCGGCCTCTTGTCTTGCGTTTGTGTGATGGGATTCCCGTGGAATATCGTGGTCCAGGGTTTTTATCCAGGATAATGCTTCATCAGTCTCTGAAAAGGGAGGGAATCCGTCGCGTTGTGTTCTTTGCAGAGGAAGCCCCTTTGAGAATGATGTGTCCGGCAGACAGCCTCCTAGTTTTAATCTTTGTTTTAGATGTTGAACCGATTCAGGAGAAACATCTCACTGAGAAGGCCATATTCACGCCACAAACGTTTGCTAAGTGCTAGTCTATACCCGGCGTGGTGCAGGCATTGGTCATATAAACATGGGTAAATCACAGCCCCTGCCCCATTGTAGCTCCAGGCCTGTTGACCAGATTCTTGGTTTCTCCTTTTGGGGAAAAGGTTGACAAAAGTGACTTGTGTGCTTTGAATTTTAACAGGGCCTAATAAACACATAAAAAGTAGTTCCTCACTTTAGAGAAAAAAAATTACCATTTTCAGAAGATTTATATCAAAAATACCTAAAGTACTCCAAAACATAAAACAGACCATATTTACTAATGATAAAAATTTCTTTCATACTTTCTTTCGTATGATCACATACATTTTTAAAAGTCTGTTCATCTCATGCCATTTGTAAATCTTGTGTGATTTATACTTTGGGGACCACCCTGTTCTATTAGTCCACTGAACTGTTGTTTGGATGTATCATTAATACTGCTCTGAAGAAGAGAATACATTCTCTCCTATGGTAGTTGCATTCTGGAAGATGTGGTGTGATTTTATGAGTGTTGTTCTTTTTTTTTCCCCCTTGCTGTGTTTCATTCTCTTCAACTATTAAATGCTGATGCCAAGGTGAAAATGATGTTGTTACCTGCAAAGTCTTTGAGTCAAAGATAGAAAACAGTTCTTTGTGTCTCTTAATATTATAACACAGGTTTGCTTCCGTTTTAAAATATTATTTGTGAGAGCTGATGTTCTTTGATTTATAAAAATATTGAAATTGGTCAGAAAAAAGTGGGAATTTGAAAAAAGCCAATTGTTGAAGAATGACAAGCAGTGGGTATGATCTAGGTGGCAAGTCAGATTTAGAAAAGTCCAGAAAGAGAATCCATCTGAATGTTTATTTTGTAGTTTCTGTAGAATGACTAGGGATTTTAGCCGATCCAGTTATTAGTGTCTTAATATTACAAACATCACAACTGCTTCGTGGTTAGTCTCCTATATGAAGCAGGAGGACCCATTCGGAGCTCTACAACTTTGTAAAGATGTACAGAATATTAGAGAATTCCAGAAGAGAGTAACTTGGCTTGGATTTAAAAGTAGGAAAACAAGAGAAACCAGACTCGTTTTTGACAATGGGTGACTTCGTAACAGTTTGCAGGTTCTCAGATTCGTGAAGTGTTATTTCGTTCGTTGTTTTCCACTTTCATCAAAATTGAGACGGTAGGAAGTTGGCTGAAACGGGAGGGAGAATTCATGTTAATAATAATGCCTGATAAGCAGTAGTAGGGCTTGCTGAAGGACATTCTTGAATTTCCTTTCTTAAATGTCTCTTGCAACAAGATGGGTATCTTTCTGTCTGGTATTGGTTAACGCCACTTAGAGAAAGGGGGATGGAGTCCGTATCTTCTGGTGGTTCTATAGAGGGCTTTGATTCCATGTTGCTTTGCCTGGCAATCCAGCTAGAAAGGTTAACTTGGTCTGTGCACCAGAGAGATTGGTTACCATAGTGACATGTTCTTCCGGTGAAGCTGGAAACACAGTGACAGGGAAAGGGATAGGGGAAGAGTGTACAACATTTTGACTTTGTATCGACTGATTTTTAATTGCAGCAACAGAAAATGGACACGGCACAGCAGGGGGATTGAATACACTGATACCTAGAGTTGGCAGGCATTGTATTTCACTTGGACTAATGGAGATGCTGTTCCCCATCACCCAAAATACAGCAATCACTGTCAGCTGCAAGCACCCGCTTACCATGGCCGTTTCTGTCCATTTGACATTCTTGTTAGGTATTATTGAGATAGATGGCATGCCAGCCTTACAAATCTTGAGAGACTTAAGGTCACTATCTTCATTTTTAACCTCGAAGCATAATATTTGAGAGCTAGATCTTCCTTTTCTAAGCAACAATAGACACATTTTGGAATGTGTGAATTCACAAGCAACTCCAATAACACAGAACATAATTTCTAGACTTAATCCGTGTTCTTTCTAGATCGGCAGATTTTAGAAGGAAGTAAAAAAAAAAAAGCACCCAGAAATTGATTTTCCTCTATTTAAATTTAGGGCAGGCATCTTAGGGAAAGATATTTATCTCACAGTATTCATTAGCAGCCTCAAAAGATATGGTAGGCCTTTGTCTTTTGGGGGAACATCTCAGATTAAAATGCTGGGAGATATGTGTTGGGCAAGGGGGAAGGGACACCAGAGAAAAAGACTGTGTAAAATCTGTCAATATTAGGGGAAAATTAGAGATTTATCTAAATGATCATACAGCTCCACGTAACTCAATCATTTGTTAAATCAATGTTCATTACATTAGAAAGTTGCCGTCTGTGCATTTTAAAACACAACCAAACCACATAATTAATAAGAAAACAAAAGTCAAATCTATATCTGATTCGAAGATAAAGTCCTTTTAGATTCATGTTCTTTCTGAAATCCATTTCTTCGATGCCCTGTTGCCATGTGTGTACCAATAACAAATATGCATTTTTGGTCACGGTATATTTATTCGTTTGTCTTATTGAACTGTTAAGTTCCTGAAGGGCAGGAAAGATAGAATTTGTAAAATACATTCACCAGATGCTTGGTACTTGGGAAATATCTCATACAAATTAGGTTCACAGAAACGTATCCATCAAGAGCTTATTCTAATTGTAGGAACACTTGTGTGGGAATCCAAATAAAGGATTAGTCAGAAAATTGTGATGAAAAAAAAATGAGCCAGCACGGCTCTCAGGGTAGGTTAATATTGCAACAGATGCTGAATAATTTAACAGGGAAGGTTTTTTTGAGCAAAAAAGTTTTGCTACGGAATAAGGGGAACAGTACTTTTTTTGGATAGCCGATGTCACTGAACAGACATTTATCACCCACAATCATTATTTTTCACATTAGATGAGATTTTAATGATTTCCTTCTTGGAGGTGGGATTGGGTAGAGGGTGCAGCAAGGATAGATCACCCTTGAATCCCCATACGACTGTGACCATAATCAAGTCCTCTTGTCTTGCTTTTCAACCATGTCAACGTCTCCCTAGTAAGTCACTGCAAGCACGGGGGACAGATCAATGACAGGATCAGTTTCTGAAATCCAAGAGACTTCCAGACCCTTAGGAGGAATAGCTACAGGTAGGATTTTGTTCCAGGGAACATTTACATTCTTTGATTTCTACTGGCGTGTTATATTGATATGGCTTAAAATAAGTAGACCTTCACCTGAGACTCTGAGAACTTTTTTTATTATTTGAAAATAGGCCTTCTAGTAGAATGTGATCTATATAATCATAGACTGGTTGTCTCTGTATTGAGGCTTATTTGAACAAAACACTGCACACATTCACAAATTAATAATGTGCTCAGCAAATATTTACTGCACATGTATTGTGTGATGGACACACATCCCTGGAATGAAGTGATGGATAATACCTGGGCCTCAAAATTCCCATAGTCTGTTAGCGTCACAGGGGATAAATGACAACGACACAGCAGCAGCTACAGATGCGGAGAAGCACCGAGCAGACAGTGATGGATGGTGTTGGCAGTGGGGCAGGGGGAGGGGGGTAAGCGGGGAGGGGTGGGGTGGGGAAAGTTGCCTGGAGGAAATGAAATCGAGCACAATTTTCATGAACTTGGAGGTGGATGGTGAGGAAGGGCATGTCAGGCCAAGAGAGCCATCTGCATAGCCACGGAGCTGTGAAACAGCAGCTTGGCCTCGTGAGTGGTGATTGCTGGAGTGAGTGAGAGGGGTAGGGAGTGGAGCTGGAGAGCCGGGAAGAGGCAAGTCAAGGAGCTTGTATACTCACGTCCCTGGTAGCTGTAACGCCCAGTAGGGTAGCTGCTAACCACAAGTGGCTCCTTAAATTTAAAATAACCAATATAAAATGAAATTAAAAATTCATTTCCTTAGTCACGTTGGCCACATTCAAGTGCTCAAGAGCCGTGTGTGGCTCGTGGCTGTCATATTGGACAGTGCAGGTTAGAGAACATTCCTGTCATCCCAGAAGGCTCCATTGGACAGAGCTGCATGGAACCCAGAGCCTCAAAAGAGCAAGCACGTACTTGGTTTCAGATGAGGAATTAAATTAATTAAACATGATAACTTGACCTCAAATTTAAGCATATTATTCTACACTTGAAGAAACTTTGCTACTTGAATGTTTTGGGCAGAAGGTTTGAGTTCATGGTCAATTATACCAAGTCTATATTTTATTAACTTCCCATCTTTAAGATTCCATTAAAATTCCATCAGAATTCTCACAGGCTTCTCTATTCTCTCCTTGCCCTCTCTCCACTCCATTCAGAGAAACTTGCCTTGTTGTCTGGATGGAAAGGGTTAATAATAATAATTGTCAAACATGATGCCAGGTCCTCCTCTAAGAGTTTTCCATATATTCGCTAATTTATTCTTCACAATAACGCCCGAGGTGGGCATTATTATTTTTTTCATCCCTGCGCTACAGTTGAGGAAACTGAGGCATATAAATGTCCATTAACTTGCCAAGTCTCACGGTAAGGAAGCGAAGGTGCCAAGATTCGAATTCTGGCTCCAGGTTTGGTGA